TCCCTTCCCCTTCCCTTCCCTTCCCTTCCCTTCCCTTCCCTTCCCTTCCCTTCCCTTCCCTCCCTTCCCGGGATGCTGAGGGTCACCTTGCTCTTGTCCGGCTCCGCAGTTCCCAGCTCCCCAGCCTGCACACGCAGCAAGCACAGCAGGACCAGCCCCAGGCTCAAGCCCACGGTCCTCATCTCGCCTCACGGACTTCCCCAGTGGGATGGGGAGCGGTGCCGGCGCTGTCGGATTTATAGCTCCGTGCCCCGCGCTGGAGCCGTGCCGAGCCCCACGGGAACACTCCTGGGGTTGGATTGGGCAAAGGGGTGGATCCGAAGGGCAGCAGACAGCCAAGGGTGAAGAAACCCCTGGGGCAGAGCGGGGCTTGTGCCTGCCAGCCCCAAAACGGGGTTACAGGAACTGTTTCACCACTGCTGAAATTTGGGATTTCCCCCGTTCTTTTAGTTGCTTGTGAAAGAACAAAGCGAACGGTTGTTTTCCAACGGGCTGCCGGAGCGCTGCCAGGAGGAGCGGGAGGTTCTTCCCGGCACCGGCCCCGGGGCAGCCCCTCTGTCCAGCTCACCAAGGCCCTCGGTGACCCGTTCTTCTGGCCGGGGTGAAGCGTGCCCCAGGGCAGCTGCTGGGATCCTGCCCAAATCCAGTCCTCCGCAGGCACAGCCTGACCCGCGGTGCCTGCGCGGCCTCCCCCCCTTCGCCGGAGCACGCCGGCTCTGCCGAGCGGGCTGCGCCCCGAGCAGGGCGGGCAGAAGAAGGGCTTCGTGTCGCTGTGGAAGTGTGTCCCTCCTTCCCAGAGTGTGATGTCCCCTGTGGCCTGGCTCTACCACGCTCCCGGGATCACAGCCCAGCACCTGCCTGGGCACAGAGGGACGCCGGGGCAGGGAGGCTGCCTTCGGTCGGCAGGAGGTGGAGGCACATAAAAACTGCCCTTGGGGCTCATGGCAGCATGGCCTTGCTTTGGTGAGATGGGGGACCAAGGGAGGTGGCAGGCATGTGAGTCCCAGTCCTGCCACAGCCAGCCCTGGTGCCACCCCGCTCCCAGCTGGGTGGCCCGGGAGAGGAGTGAGCTGGGAGTGGGGTTTCCTGGGAGTGTCCCTGCAGGCAGCACTGGGCAGCCTGACTGCTTAACCCTGTCTTCCCAGAGCTACTGACCACACAGCTAGGCTGTGCCAGCCCCTGTCCACCCTGGCTCCAATCTTCCTTGCCCTGACAGCTGCTCCCCTGTACCTTCCCCATCCTCCCCATGCTGGGCACAGCAAACATCACATCTAGGGAGCCCCCTGAAACCTGTGGGGGCCTGACAGGAAGGGTCAGCTCCAGGACTGTTGGTCTCAGGGTGCCTGGGGACCTTGGCAGCACCCTGCTCCCACCAACAAAGCATCGCGCACTGGGGCATCTTCTGCATCTATTTATTTAGGAGGTTGAGGGTGATCCTGGTATGGAGCAGGGGGTCTGGCAGAGCCTGCAGGATGGGAAGGAGCACCACGGAGTGGGGTGCAGAGCCTGTTGTCCACTAGGTCTGGGGGACACATGGTCCTTCAGCTGCAGGGGCAGGACAGGCAAATGACTGCTCAGAGCAGGGCAAAGCCAAGATGACAGAGCCCCAAGGCAGGTGGGGGATCCCCCAGGGCCTGCAAGTCCCTGCTCAGCCCAGGCCATGCTGAAAAGCAGTCACAGCTTTCCGTGGCCACACTCACCTGACGTCCCTGGTGCATTGATCTGTTGGAAAGCAAAGAGGGGGTGAGTGTGCAATTGGCAGCACCCCAAGCCCCTGCACAGTTCACATGCAGAGGAGCTGCAGCTGCCACCCTGTGCCCTTGGGCCACTCACCTGACTTGGGCAGGATGGCCAGCATGTCCTCGGTAAGGCCCATGGTGGGGATGAGCTCCATGAACTTCTGCAGGAGCTGGGGGCTCACGTCCTGCTCCCTTGCTGCAGCCACACACCCAAAGTGGGAGCTGGTGAGTGCAAGGAATCCCAGCAGCCAGCCCCACACTGGGGGTCCAGGTACTGCAGGGCAGCAGCTGGACCCCAGGGAAGGGCCAAGGTGAAGCAATGAACATGCAGGGTGGACACCAGGCAAACCACAGCTGCCCTGGGCTGGCAGAAAGGGGCACAAGCCCCTTGGTGTTGGAAAGGATGGATAAATATAATTGCCTGGTAAAAGATTTACAATAGTACAGCCAGGATGAAAACAATCCCCCCTACTGGCTGGATAATGCCCTTACCTACTGATAGGTCCAAAAGTCAAATAGACTGTTCCATCTCAACCCCCAAAATGCACGGTTCATCCCACACCTGTAACCCTCCCTTGAAGCATCAGGTGTCTGTGACCCCATTGGCCTAAGTCTTGTTCCAGCCCACCTTGAAGCCCCCTGATAAGGGGTCTCCAAGAGGCCAGATGCCCTCTTGGATCTTCCCCTCTCTTGGAACTTCCCCCCTCTTGGATCTTCCCCTCTCTTGGAACTTCCACCCTCTCCTGGAGCATCCTCTCTACCCCTTGTCTCTCCCCTCCCCATTCCCTCAGGCCTTGCCACGTGCTGCATCTGGCAGCTCCAAGCAAGACCTTTCACCATCCCTAATAAACCTGATATCCTCAGAGCAGCCTTCAGAGATCTCTCGTCTCCATTCATCTAAGCCATCCTGGAGCACAGCTTTCCCAACACCTTGGGATCAGCAACCCATTTGCTTGGGGTGGTATGGGACGGCTGGCAGGCTTAGGTTGCTGCAGCTGGGCTTGCACACTGCAGGAGGCCCTGGTTCAACCCGCAACCAACTGGAGATTTCTTTAGCGCAAGGTTTCATTCACCCCAAAATTAATTCCCTAGGTGATGGATGTGGGGTGCTACTGGTGGTGGCCCTGGGTAGTGGTGGGAAGCCCAGCCCCTGCCTGCTGCTGGTGACCCCACCCCTTCCCAGGAGCCAGGTCCCCACTCCCAACGCACTGAGGAGCTGCAGCGCCGTGCTGGGCTCTGCCTCGCTGTGCTGGACCTCGTGCAGGACAGCATAATGACTGTAGTCTGTCTCCATCACACGCAGATTCCTCTTCTCTTGTGCTCCTAAGGACCCCAGAGGTGACTGGATGGGTAACATGGTCCAGTCTGAGCCCTCCTGAGGCCCACAGCTCAGTGCTCAAGCCTCAAATTTGCCTGAGGGGGTATGAGGAAGGAACCCCAGCTCAATGTGGAGGAGCCAGGTGCCCACCCACCCACAACCTCTTGCTGAGTTGTGGAGGCAGAGGGGCCAAGCCCACCTTCCACTACTCCTGAGGCATGGGGGCTGGAGATGCCTTCTGTTTCAGGGTACCCATGGCTCCAAAGCCCCTCTCCACACATACCCATGTAGTGCCCCGCCTGCCCGCTCTGCTGGAAGAGCAGCTCAAACTTTTGGCATTTGTCCATCCTGGAAAATGAACATGAAAAAGACAAATGTGTCTAGACACCACATGGTAAGGCAGCAGGGTGATGGGCACAGGGGGGAGCCCAGCCTGCCCAGGGGGATGCACTGAGGCAGAACTGGGCAACCCAGAGCAGTGGAGGAGTTACTGTGCTGTGGCCCACAGGGAACACAGTGAGCAGGACTGACACTTACAGGGGCCAGACCAACTTCATGGTCAAGTCTCCTTCTGGCATGAAGCTGATGATGGCCATGGGTGACTTCATCCCATCTTTCATCTTCAGGAAGATGGAGCAGTTGGAAGCAATGGCTGTGACATACCACACCCCTGCAAACTGCAACAGGACATCACTGGTAGAATTTGGAAAAGTTGTGGGGACCTGCCAGGGGGACCTGCACTCCTCCATAGGGGACTTGGAAGCCCACTGCAGAAATTTGCCAACCTGCAGTGGATCTGCCACTGTCTATGGGGGCCTGTCACCTCTTCAGGGACCTGCCACCATTTGTAGGGATCTGCCCTCCACCATGGGGAGCATGACAGCCCGCTATAGAAACATGCCAGACCTGCCACCCTCTGTGGTGACCAACCAGGCAAACATGGGGAACCTGCCACCTACCTGCATGCAGAACACCCTGTCCTGCCCTGTGATAAGAGTACAGAGCACCTGACCCATGTTCCCTGGGAAAGTGCCACACCCTTGCAAACATCATGGCCCCACGAGCTGGTGTCCTTGCAGTGGGGCTATTGTTGGCACTGGACACAGCAGCCAGGACTAACCTGGTTTTGCACAGGCTCTCTTGGAAGCTGCCCTGAAGCTGGCTCAGGGATGGGGCTGGCAGGTGCCCAGGAGTGCAGCACAGGCCCCTTGTCCCAGCCAGCCCCTCCAGCCCAGGCAGGATGTGTCAGGTAGCACCCTGTGTACTTACCTTCTTGGTGTCCAAATCCGGCTGCACGGGGACCTGGGCTCCTACCTGCAGCAGGCAGAGCAGGGCCAGAGCCAGGCTGGGCAGTGCTGCTGTCATCCTCACCCTGGAGTGGATGTGGGCAGGAGAGGCTGCACTCACTTTATAGCCCCCACTGCTGGCAGCACAGCTGCCCACGCCAGCTTTATGCAACAGGTTACACAAGAAAAAGGATAACCTGTGCCCGGCTTAGGTGACAGTGTTGGGCCTGTTCCCCCTGGTTCCAGATGAATGCAGCCTTGTGTAAGACCCAGCCCAGAGCACGCCAGGACCAAGAGCTGCCCCGTGCCCACTCTGTGTCTGGGGAGGACGTGACATGCATCCCAGGGGTCCCCTCCTGGCTGTTCCCATTGCTTCTAAGGTCTGCCAGTGGTGGGACAGTTCCTGCCTCAGGATCCTCAGTGCCAGAGAATGGCTGTGCTGGTGTTCTACCCCAGGCTGAGCCACAGCTGGGTGCTCTCAGAGGGGGTGGTGACTTCTTAGGCTGGTGGCAGCAGGCTCAGACCCCACTGCTGGAGAGGGTCTGGGTTAGTGGGATGGAGCCCAGGAGGTGGCTGGAATCAAGCCACACCCAGAGCTCAGACATACTTCTTCTTTATGTCTATCCTTCCCCAAACTTCTGGAGACCTCCTGATTGCCTATCGCCCCATTCCTATGCTGTCAGCCTGCTCTCCAGCAGGAAAACCAAGATAGGGAGGTTGGGGGAGCCCAGGGTGTCCAAGGGGCAGAGCGGGAGCAGATGCCCCAGTGGGTCCCTAGACTCAGGGACCCCTTTTTGTGGGACAGGACAGGTTCAGTGGCCAGGCAGTACCATGGGGCAGGGCTGTGAGTGCACATGGGGTCTCAGCCAGCAGCTCCATAGCCAGGAGCTGGGGTCAGCCCTGACCACTAACCCCAGTCCCAACCCTACTGGCCATGCTTTCCCCGCCCCATTGCCTTGTTTGGGCCTGCCCCAGAATAATCCAGCAGGCAAGGGCTGTTTTTTTAATGGGCTTTAATCGAGACAGGGATACAGGTGTGGGTTGTGAAGCCAGGGAGCGAAGGCTGCTGTGGTGCTGGGGGCCACTGGGAGTCAGATGGGTCAGGGTGGTCACCAGCTTGCGATGCTGTTGGGGCTTGGGGTGGCAGCAGTTGGTGGGTCTGCCTGGAAAAGATGAGGGGTGAGCATGGCTGAGCTGTGGGAGACCAGGTAACACACAAAGGGGACATGGGCCTGGCTAGCCTCACACTGAGTGGGTAGGCAGCCCACAGGGCTGGGTGGTGAATCCCCAGTCAGTGTGAGGAGAGCAGCAGCCCAGGGAAGGGTTGTGGAGGGGCTGGGGGCTCTGTGGGGTGATGTGGCTTTAAGCATCCCCATACCATCCCCCAAGGCTGGTCTGAGCCCCAGTGAAGGCAGGACTCACCTAAGCAGCATCTGCCATGCATTTGTCTGCAAGAGGAAGAAACAGGGAGATCAGCTCCTCTGGGACTGTGGGAACTCAGCCGCTCTGAGGGATCCTGAATAGGGGCACCCCTTGTCTGGTCCCATAGAGAGGCAGGGACAAGCCAACAGGGTCTCCTCCTTCTCAGTCCCCCTGTGGTATCTCACCCCCTACTCCCCGACACCATCCCCATGCTCCCAGTCTCACCCGTCTGGGGCAGGATGAGGATCTCGTCATCTGTCAGGCCCTGCTCCCTGGAGAATTGGGTGAACATCTCCAGGCGTCTGGGACTCAGCTCCTTTGTCCGGCCTGCAGCAAAGAGCAGGGTGAGAGGCAGTCCCTCCCATACCCACCAGCACAGGTGCACGGGCAGCCCTGCAAGGGGGTCCTGACCCAGCCATCATCCCCCCAAAGTCACCCCAGCTTGGGAAATGACCCTAACCCAGCCCTTCTCCCATGCGAAAGACAGACATCCGCGGGTCACGGACATCATGAGGGTCCAGGGGCAGACGTACTGTAGAGCAGCACCATGGTGGAGGAACCAGTGCCTTTGGAGATCTGGGTGGCCACCAAGGCATACTCTTCGTAGTTGGTTTCCACCACATGCATGTTGTGCTTGCTGCCCCAGCCTGTGGGGAACATGGGGCGCAGCTCAGCCATGAGCTCCAAATCAGCCACAAGGCAGAAACAGGGACAGCAGGACTGTGACATGTCGGGGGCTGCCCCACAGAAGCTGGTCACTCACGTGGGTTGGTGTAGCTGAACCGCCCCGGCTGCTCTGTCTTGGTGTAAAGACTGTTCCTCGTCACGCACTGGTCACCCCTGGGAGACAGAGCATCAGGGGATGCACCAGTGGCCACCCCCAGTACACCCCTCCCCGCTCACCCTCTCCCCATGCCCCATACTTGGGGTATGTGGAGGTAACTTCCAGGTTCCCCTCTGCGGTGGTGGAGATGATGGTGGTGCACATCTTCATCAGGTGCCTCTTCTCCTTGAACCAGTTAGAGTTGGAGGCCAGACCGATGCTGTACCATCTCCCTGTAAGCTGCACACAACATCCACTCAGCCCCAGCTGGGCACAGACCCTGTCTCACCCCTCAGCCCCCACCAGCCCCAGCCCACGCCACATCCCTGCCCTCTGGCAGCTCATTCCCTACAGCAGGACAGTGTCCTCATTTCACAGGGAGCTGCTACAGTTCTTGGCAACCACAAAACTCAGGAACAAGGAAATCCCCGTTTCATGACATGTCCTTCACTGCCCTTGGGTGTTTCCTTCCTCTTCACCCCAAGTCCAGGGAGTGTGACAGGACTGCCTGGCTCTGAGATACCATTTCCCTCCCTCTGGGGGTGTGAGGATGAGTCAGGACACTGGGTCCAGCATGGCTCATTCCAGTCTGGCGTATGGAGCCAGCAGTGTGATACTCCTGAGGGGAACTGCCCCCCTTGGAGAGCAGCTGTGCTGGGATCACCCTTGCAGCACATGCCAAACTCCTGTCCTTGCAGAAAGTGCCTCCCTCCATCCCCATTACCTCTCTAGGGAAGCTGTGTCCCCCAGGACCTTTCCAGGGGAGAAAGGATGTAAGGGATATCCCAGCACAGCAGCCCTTATTTTTTTGTGGCCCTGGGCTGGGGTCTTTGTTGGGGAAGGGTTCTCATGGCCCATCTCTGTGCTGTCAGACCGAGACTGCATTTCTTAGTCTCCCCTGTAAGAGCCCTGTGCATCCACACCCACTCCACAGCACAGCAGCAGCTTGGACCCATGCCTAAGCTGGGATCCTACCCCACAGCCTGCAGCCTCGATGCTGGATCCCTTCCAGAGCCACCAAACCCAGGTGCTGGGAAGTCCCCAGGATGGGAGGCTGCATGTGCACCGGTGTGAGCCTGGGTCCCCATCCACCTGCACCGCCCCCTCCCCACATTTTCAGGGCAAGGATCCCCCAAAACACCCCAAACCCCCACAGAGGTGATGCCGGTTGGCCTGTGTCACCTTGTCCTGCTGGAAGTCAGCCTGGACAGGAATGCTGTCCTGGGCATGCAGTGTCCCGAGCAGGGCCAGCCCCAGGATGCTGAGAAGTGTGGCCTGCATGGCAAGAGCGAGCCGAGCTGAGCTGAGAGCTGGAGGCAGAGCACTGCAGTGCTGGAGAGTTTGTCGAGCCCCTATTTATCGTCAGGCGTTGCGGGGGCCCCTGGGGAGCCAGCCCTGCCCCAGCCATGCCGTTATGCAAGCTGGAGCAGGACAGCGCGCTGAAGCCAAAGGGCAAGCAGCGGATCCTGTGAATGCTTCCCTTCTGTTGATACGACATATTTGCTCCAGGGTGCCAAACTGCTCTGCAGTGAAAACAGCCGGCGGCCAGCGCAGTGGCCACCCTGCCCCCAATGCTGCCGGGCTGGGGCAGGAAGCAGCCCATGGAGAGGGGCCAGAGCTGCCCCATCCACACAAGGGTGGCCTCACTTGAACTCAGAGTGGGGCTTCAGTGAGATGGAGGACATGTCCAGTGCCTGCCAGGTCCCAACCCAACCCACAGGACTTGACACCAATGCGTGCTCCTCCAAGACGCCCTGCTTTGCCTTAAGTACCTGCATCACCCAAGGAAGTATCTCTGCTGGCCTTAGCACCCTTAGGGTGCATCCCACTGGTGAGCCAGGGAGCCCCATGTTCAGCTCCCTGGGGACCAGCATGCAGCCAGATGCACCCTAGAACTTGACACCCCACCCGCCCCACCACCCTGCACCCTTTGCCAAGAGGGGCTGGAGACGCCCTCCCCCTTGGTTTGGGGTCACCAGCAGGTATTAAGGCACCCCCCTCAATCTGGGGACGCCCCTGCAGGGTGAGGGCAGGGGATGTATGCTGGGTGCCAGCAGCCATGCCCATGGGTCTGGCAAGGTTTGGGCCGGGCTGGCCATGCCAGGCAGAGCCCCAGCGCCACAGCGCAGCCCTGCCAAGGTGCGTTATGTAAGGAGCATGTTTTCAGAGCAGCTGGTTTTCCCCTGGCAGCCCCCCCGCACATTCCCTTCCCCGTGTCCTGCTGTGAGGCCGTCCTGCCCTGCACACCCTGCGCCTGCCCGGCCCCGCAGATTTATGAAAACAAAACAAAAGCTGAGGAGGCAGGACTGGACATCACGAGAGCCTAGCTGGGGCCTCACATGCTGGGCTGGGGCTTAGTCTCCCCTGGAGTTCACCCTCAGGGTGGTGGGGGGAACTCTCTCCATCAGGCACAGAGCAGGGAACACCCAGGGTGTCACTGTCATCTGGCACTGTGGCAGGAACACAAAGCCTCCCTTGCTGCTCCCCCAGCTCCCTGCCCAGGTGTCAGGAGGGGGTGCCCGATGGATATTTGGGTGGTGCTTGGCTGTCCTGGGGGTGGTAAAGCTGGGAGCCAGCCCAAGGACTTGGGTGGCAAAACTGGAGCACTTGGGGGCATAGGGGAACATGCCAACGGTGGCAAGGGGCAGAAGGAGCAGGGCTGGGGGCAGGATGGGGTATCTGGGCTCTGGGTCCTCACAGGGGCTTGACACAGACCCTTGGGCATAACCTGCGTGTTTGCACCCAGAAATGGTTTAGCCCCAACAACAGATGGGCTGAGCCGGTATGAAGGGTGTGGAGAATCCTTGGGGACCAGCCCAGCTCTCCGGGGCTCTCCCCTTACTCCCTTAGCTCCCCCCTGCCTGGTGCAG